TAAATTAAATGAAACTGAGGACGGACTAGGAAAAATATGTCATAACGCACACACTCACACACATACACACACTACACACACACACACACACACACACACACACACACACACACTTTGTCTTTCCCCTCAGCTTCTAACATTCCCTCTTCCTCCTTCTCCCCTCTGGTGCCTCTCTCTACCTCTCACACATATACAGCTAGGTTAGAGTCAATCAAGCCTGAGATCTCAGAGTGGAACAGAGGCTAGTTTAGACAGAAATGAAAGAAAAGAAACATATAGAAGGCCCACATTCTTTCTCTCCTCCCCACCTCTTTCTAACACCGGCACATTCCCTACTTTTGCTCACAGGGATGCCCCATACCATCAACACAGCCTGAGGAAATGAACAAAAAAATCCAGAAATACCAATCTGAGTTGGGAACAATTTAACTGAACATGTACTTACAAGAAAGACTGGAATACACACAAAAGTACAAAACTGTACAACTTGTCTTCATTGTATTTTATACATATTGAAATTCTGAGAATTCTCTAGTCTAATGCCTGCCTATACTGGGTAGTAGCAATAGGCCACAGCTAATATATATATATATATATATATATGCTTTAATATGCATACTGCTTATGTACACAGTTCAATATTTAAGGAAATAAGTGCAAAAATACAGTGGATTAAAAAAACTAGCACTGTATTCATGTTCTCAGAAAAAAATAGATAAAGGAATTTATTTTCCTATGAATTAAGTAATTTCTAAGGTCCCTTCTATCTTTAAATCCTATGATGCTAAAATATATACTCATAGGTTCTTAAACTATAAGAAACTAAAGATGACCTCAGAGATTATGAAATCAAAGCATCTCAGAGTTATAAAGGACCCCAGACACCATCTAGTTCGACCTGTACCTAAACAAGGATATTCTCTTTAATATTGTCAATGATTAGTCTTCCAGCCTTTGCTTAAAGACCTCTAGTGAGGTGGAAACCACTCTCTCCTCAGGCTATGCATTCATCCTACTTTTGAATAGTTCTAAATATTAGGAACCCCCTCCCCCTCCACTCCAGTCTCCCTTACATTAAGCCTAAATTTACCTCTCTACTTCAACTCTGACTCATTTCTCAATCTTGCAATCTGGCTTCCAACTTGTTTACTACACTGAAGTTGTTCTATCTAAAGTTATCAAATAGCTCTTAATGGCTAATTCTGATAGCCTTTTTCAGGCATCCTTCTTGACTTCCATTTAACTTTTGATATTATTAACCACCTCTTTACTAGGGATGTCTCTTCTCTGTCAGCATTCATGAACTTCACTTGGTTTTTCAACCTAACTAACCACTCCAGTCTCCTTTGCTATATATCATCCATGTCTTACTCCATTAATGAGCATATTGGCATCTTCCAAGAAAGACATCCTCCTGGGCTCTCTTCCTCAACCCTCTCTTGATCATCTCATTAGCATCTAAGGCTTAAGTTATCATCTCTATGTAGAGAACTCCCAGATCTATATATCTAGTCAGAAGCCCTTTTCTGAAGCCCAGTTCTTCAATGACCAATTGACTAATCTTCTGCTCTAGACTCTTCTTCCTGTTCTGTAGAGGGTACCACCATCATCCCAGTCTCCTAGGTTTACAACCTCAGTCATGCTCAAACTTTTCATTTACTTTCACCCTACCCCCATATTCAATCAGTAATCAAATCTTGTCAATTAAATATTTTTTCCTTTTATTTTCATGAACTTGAGGAACATCAACAAGCATGAAAATTTCCCTACATAAAGAACAGAAAAAGATATAAAACCACGAATATCTATAATGTATAGCTTATTTTATTTTTGTATTTTTCACATTTAATATAGTTGTTTTAATATTGCCCTGCGTCATCTTCTGAACTTCATTCTGCAATCTTCTGGGTTTTTTTTATTTTTAGTGATCCATTGACATTCTTTTCTTCCTTTTTTTTTGATAAGTTTTAACAATTTTACTTTCACAATACCTCTCATATCTGTCCTCTTTTCTCTACTCAAGACTCCATTCTAGTTTAGATCACCTGGCCTATTGTAAAAACTTCCTTTTTGGTTTTCTTGCTTGTAGTCTCTCCTCTCTAATCTACTTTATACATTGACAACAAAATAGTATTTCTAAAGCACAGGTCTCACCATGTCATTCCTCTGTTCAAAAACCATTATTGGCTCCTTAGTGCCTTTAGGATAAACTACACGCTTCTCACCTTGACCTTTAAAACCTTTTATCCATGTCTTCCTACATAAAGCCAACCATAAGTAAAATACAATTTGATAGAAACATTTTTTTAGGGATGCATAACAAGTATACCTCACTTTATGGTTTTCACCATAGAACTAAGGCCATTTACTTTGGATTCATCACTATCAATTTATATGATTCATTATTGCAGTGCTAGATACAGGTCTGAAGTCTGACATCTCAGAGGCTCCTGTGAGAATAACTTCTTTATCTTCTTTTGTAGGATGGTAATTAAATAAAATCTCACTGAACAATGTAAGATTGTTGTTGTTGAGTCACTTTTCAAATGTGTCCTACTCTTCATGACCCCATTTGAGGTTTTCTTAGCAAAAGTACTGTAGTGGTTTGCCATTTCCTTCTCTAGCTCATTTTACAGATAAGGAAACTGAGGCAAAAGACTTACACGACTTGCCCAGAGTCACATAGCTAATAAGTGTCTGAGGCCAGATTTGAACTCAGGAAGAAGAGTCTTCCTGATTCTAAGCTCTATCCACTGTACCATCTAGCTGCCCCTACAGTATAAGATGCTGGATGTAAATTTGAAATAAAAATATGCAGTTCACACATTTATCATGCTGAAGAGTATGATCATTCGTCCAGTTATCTCTTCATCATTGCTATAAGCCACAGTTAACTCACATGACCCTTGCTGGCTCACCTGTGAATTAATTCAGCTGATTCCTATCTAACCTCTGTTGTTTATTTCATTTAGTTCTCTTATGTGTTCTCGTTATCTGCTATTCTTCTCATGGCTTTTCCTCCAAATAAATTGACAGTAACTTCTCTTTAATATTAGCAATATAAATCATTCTTCTCTCTCCCGCCTGGTTAATGGCTTCATGGATGATTTTTTTAAGCTGAGATTCCAGAAAACCAGAGAAACTTAAACTGGAAGGAAAATTCCCTTCAATCAGATATTATTTCCAAAAAAAACTTTTTAAAGTCAATAACTTACTTGAAATCATAAAAAACAAAGACTATTTAGATCTAGACAGGCACTTGGAATGGTTCTTTTTTTTGTTTGTTTGTGTTTTTTTCTTGGGAGGCAATTGGGGTTAAGTGACTTGCCCAGGATCATATAACTAGTAAGTGTCAAGTGTCTGAGGCTGGATTTGAACTCAGGTCTTCCTGACTTCAGGGTCAGTGCTCTATCCACTGTGCCACCCAGCTGCCCCTTCAGAATTATTCTTATCCAACTTCCTTATTTTAATAGATGAGGAAACTGAAGCCCAGAGTGGCTAAGTGATTCCCTCAAGATCATACTTCCTTACTAAGCCTAGGCCTTATGGTGGCATTTTTCAATTTGTGGAATGTTTCTTGAATATGGACTTTCTTGAATTGGTAAAAAAAATTATGACAGAAAGCCACATATGGATTACTATGTTTAGTCATCCATGGGTGTTCCATTTGGGGAAGAACATAGTAAATACTATACAATAAGATTTTATTTCATTGTAATCTTATATAGAAGAGAATAAAGTTATTATCAATACTAGACCCTGTGATCTGTCTGACCTAAATCTGGATCCAACACTTAAATGATGGCACATACAATTTGAAGACAGAGAAAAATTAAAATTCTAGAATCCTTAGTTTTATAGTTATAACATGTGCAGTGAAGTAGACATCTTATCTGTTCCTAAAGAACAAGACTTTAGTGCAAGAATATTGATGAGTTGGGAGCCATCCCAAAGGTAATTAAGATGGTGAGAAGTCTCAAGACCTTTCCATGGCTGAAGGATCTAGGGTTATTTTGCCTGACGACGTCTAGGAGAAGTTATATCTGTCTTTGGTAATTGAAGGGATTTTACACATGGAGGAAGAAGTCAACTCGTTTTCTTTAGCCCTTAAGGACAGAACTAACAACCATGTGTGAAGATGCAGAGAGCCAAATGTGCAGCTGATGTAAGGAAGGATTTATAGACAGAGAGGTCCAATTACAGAGTGGGATGCATAGAGAGAGAGTGGGTTCCTCTTCATCAGAGGTCTTCAGTTAGTGGCCATATGGCTTCTTTGCTACTATGTCATAGAGGGGATTGCTTTACGTTTATGAGTCGGATTAAATGGCCTCTCGGGTCCCTTAGCTAAGTTAGGTCTTGGGGGAGTAGGGGAACAGACTGTTGCCAAACACATACTCAAAACCTTTCCAATTTCATAGGACCTGCTTCAGTTTATGTTTTGTGCTGGCATAAACACTGAGAACCCAGGATTATTTCTGTGCCAGAAAGAGGCAGCAGATCTGGGCTCCAGTTACAGAAAATAAGATCAGAAGGTAAGCTGGCAATTATTCATATGGATTCTGGGCCAAATGGAAGGATATTTATTGCAATCAAATCCAAAATTCAGTAACATTGTCATTAATGACTGTTTAAAATTTTATTACCAAAATATTAAGGCAGTCCCATTATAAATATATGAATTCTTGAAATAAAAATCAATAGAAATGTCCCCAAGCTTCCATGGTGACTTGTTGGGTTTATTTCAGAGGGAGTTAAAATTCAGAGAGATAGCAGACTTGATGGGATGGCTTCCAAGGTCCCAACTAACTCTGAAATTCAGTGATTATTAAAACATGTCACATTTCATTTATTCGGTATTCATAAAAAATCTAAAAGGTAATCTACCACATTTGTACTGTGACATGCCTAGGGCAAAGTGACACAAGATTTTTTTTTCTGGCCATAAGAAAGGGTATTTGCCTATACATTGCATGAAATACTTAACTTTGGCATTTTCTTACCTTAGAACCAATGAGAGTATACAGCCATTGAATGGTTTCATTATGATTTATGACTCCATTCATCCCGTCTACATACAACATAATCTGGCCCAAAGCTATAGAAAGGAAAAGAAACAAGGAGGCATTATGGTTTCTTGTAAAAATATTTCTAATCTATGAATATCACAAATAAGCATTCATCATATATCATGATATTAATCAAGAAATTTTCATTCCTTGAGCACTTAGATTCAACACGTTCCAGGAAGGATTTAAAGAGGACTGATTAATGAGCTTTTGGTACTGGCTGTACTTCATTGCCAGAAATGAAGGCAAGAAGAGAGAGATGCATTCCCTGGCATTGGTTCGAAGGAACTAGTCTAGGGCAAAGTCCAGGGTGAAAGTCATGGAATTACAGGACCCAAGGTAAAAAAAAAAAATACTAGTAAGAGTGTCATGTGAAAAAGGGATTAGACTTATTCTGTTTGGTCCTGAGGGGCAAAATGAGAACCAATGGAGAGAAGCTACAAAGAACAAAACTTCAGCTCAGCTGCTAAATAATTAGTCACCTTCCAATTGAATGGGATGTCTTAAGAAGGAGTTAAAATTCTTGCCAGGGGAGGTAGTCAAGTAGAGGCTGGAGGGAAATTTGAGGAAGATACTGTAGAGGGTAGAAGATGAACTAAAAGCCCTAGAAGGTCCCTTTGATCTCTCCATCTCTATGACTGTGTGAAATCAGGCCGAGGAGTTAAAGCAGACATCCAAGACAAGCAAAAGGAGTTTCAAGATCAACAGAGCAGAACCCAAGACTGGTGGAACCAATAGCTCATTCTTCTTCTGAGACTAATACCAGACAGTGACTGAGCTCCTTAATTAAAATTAGCAGATTCTTGTAATCTGAGAGCCTTGACAACAAGAATCCTGACTTCTGATAGCTGTATAGCTTAAATTTTGGAAGAAAAATAACAGAAACTCCTATACATATGTATACAACAATCTACACACACACACACACACTCATACACAATATCCATGTATGTATATATATACATATGTCTATATATGTATATATACTCACGCATATACACATATGTTGATAATTTTTTTCTCTGTTTTCTGTGATTCCAATTCCTTTCCCTGATTTTGGACAATAACTCAACTGTAACTTAAAACTCTTGGCTGCCTAAGACAATGAGAAGTTAAATGACTTGCTTGTGGTCACACAGTGTATGTCAGAGGCAGGACTAATTCTAGATCCAAGCCCATCCCTTTTATCCACTATGTCTCCTGCTTCATATGTATGCATATGGATGTTATATGTGATATACATATATACAGAGATATTTATATCTACCTACATGTACATATATAACTGTTCTCTTTTGCTAATCTCATATTGTCTTAACAACCAAAATGACTAAAAAGAGCCAGGTTGTTACGACTTAGAGAATAAATGATAGTATTGTTTGATGTTCAGCATAAATTGGGTCACTCTAGCCTATGTTTCATCTATAGCATTTGGCTGAAGAGATTTCCATCCTATGGATGCTTTTGCAGAAGTAAAACAAAACAAAATGAAAAACCATCAATAGATAGGAAGATGGATGATAGAAGAATGACCTATGTGTCAATCCAGACTAGAAATTAATCTGAAGGATTAGTTTGAACCCCAAATGGCCTCCTGAGTACTTGGTCATAATTAGTGAAACATTTAGGGATGGGGAAGAACAAGGCAGAGTCCATTTGAGTACTTATTCCATCATTCTCCTAGTTGTATAAATTTCTCATCAATAACTATCCCATCCCACACTAAAATAGTTCTTCTTTTACCAACTAGACATAAAACCATTTTTAAAGCTCCATCAATCTCAAAATAAAAAGAAAGAACACAGAAAAGGATCAAAGAATAGCCATTCTTATTTATCCATTTAAACAGTATTAAATTCAATAAATATTTACTGAGCATCTTCTGTATCTTAAGTGTTGCACTGAGACTGGGGAGACACAAGATTTAAGCAAGACATAATTTCTGCCCTCATTAAGTTTACAGATTAGTAGAGGGATAAGCTATATACACAATTAATTGTAAGTATATAATTATCCAGGATAGGTACATTAGATGGAGTGTTATGTGAGATCAAAGCTAGAAGGGACTTTAGTAGGTCATTTAATGCTACTCCATTTTGTAGATAAGGAAACTGAGGCTCAGGGAAAGTCTCAAAGTCACTAAGTGGCATAGCTGTGAATTGAATTTATGTTACACCAGGGCTCCTTCCACCGCACCACCCAAAAGAGACATTGTAGGAGACTTGCTTCAAGGAGGAGGCAAAAGCATTATATGAATTTGGGCTATAAATGATGGATAATAATTCAACAGACAGAGAAAGAGGGGCACTACAGGCATAGGAAGCAGCACAGAGCTAGAAATGTGCAAGGTATATTCAGGAAACAGTCAGTCAACTATATTTTATTAAGTGCTTACTGTATACCAACACTGGAAATACAAAGAAAGGCAAAAAAAAAGAAAAAAGAAAAGAAAGTCTGTGCTCCTAAGAAGTTCACAGTCTAATAGGAAAGACAACGTGCAAACAACTATACACATACAAGATCTATAAAGGACAATTTGGAGATAATTAACAGAGGGAGGACACTAAGATTAAGGCAGACTGGGAAAGGCTCCTTGCAGAAACTGAACTTTAACTGAGACCTAATGGAAGCCAGGCAAGCTAGGAGGCAGAGATGAGAATACCGATAGTTTAGTTGGAGTAAGACAGGGCTAGGAGATAAGACTTTTGATCTCTTTGGTACAGATAACTCCTAGTTGAGAGAGTTGGCAGGGACTATAAACCAGGAATACAGACTGGCACCTAGCAGACTCTCACAACGGAGATAAACATCTCACATCCCTTCTTAGAATGGGAAATAGAGTAGGCAGCAAAGCATTGCCTAAAGTGCCTCAGCTATGCTTCCAGAAAGTTGAAGTGACCTCTTCAGGGATAAGCTCTCTTCAAAGTCAGAGAATGGGGATGTGGGGTGCGAAAGAGGATGGAGGATCCTTCAGCTGATGAAGCAACGGTGGCACAAGACCCTCAGAAGTTTAAATGCTCCGACAGATGTGTGCTCACAGTTGGAATTCCCCTCTCTGAGAACCCTCCTAGCTTTAAACTGGGAGTAGGGGCTCAGAGGTGCACGTTGTTTCAGCTTTAAAAGAGCAGAGAGGCTCCTTGACAGGAACTTGGATCAGAAAAAAAAAGTTTAATTAGTGTATCCATTTTAATGTGCCAGAAATGATCTGATCTGAGGAGAGGCGGGGGAAAGTCAAACTATTCGATACTTCAATTAATACAATGAATTCCTCTTGGTTCCATAAGGAAAATCTCAGTTCAAACAACCTGGCCAAATTTTCATTTTTAACTGGGATGTTTGATCACATGCAGACACTGCCTTGAAGAAAAATTCATTCCACTAAAGGGCAATCTAAAAAAACATTTTAAACTTCTTTTTAGTGCAAGAGACTTGGCTCTTGAATAGGGCAAGATCAAACCAAGATAAGATCAGCAAATAGTTCTGCTTTATGGAATTCTTTGGATGAGAGCAAAGAGATTAACAGTGAATCTGGAACCAATGTGAAATAAACAGCACGTGTATCTGTCAGATTTTGAAATAATATATATGTATGTATATTTTAAAATCAGTGACAGCAAGAACTTTCCTTTGAAACAGGGCAAAGGGCAAAGAAGAGAGAAGATCGATCATATTTCCTTGGATGCTTTTAATTCTGCTTCGCCACTTAAGAGTAGATGAAACTCTTCCAGAGAACTCTTCCTACTGTCTTCTTTTCCTTCCTATTTGATCCAGATATCGAACTCTCAGTGTGGGAATTCCCTCTGCCAAGAGAGATTAGCAACTTCAATGTACAATCTTAGAAAGATGCCTAGGGCACTGAGAAATAAAGAAACGTGTCCAAGGTCCTACAGCTAGTTATGTGTCTGAGATGGGACTTAAGCTCAGGTCTTCTTGTCTCCATTACCCCCCTTTTCCTCTGTGTGTGTATGTGTCTATACACACACATGTATGTGTATGTATATACATATATACACATGTATGTGTATATGTATGTTTTGTGTTGGTTATAGGTATGTGCGTGTATGTGTACATGTGTGCACGCAGGCATGTGTTGTATATGTGTACATGTATATGTTTATTATGTATATCTATGTATACGTAAATATGAATATATTTACACACATATTTTGTACTGTACATGTATGTGCATGTATATGTGTATATATGTGTGTTTATTTATGTGTATATACATGTGTACACATTTATATATATGTACATATACTGTTATAAACATGATTGATTGATTGATATATGTGTATATATTATTCCCTTGATTAGACTTAGTATTCCAGTGAAGAGTAAAGATAAAAAGAGAAATTAGCAGTTATGGAAATGATGACATAATTTATCTCAAACTCAAATGCTACTTCTTCCCCTGGGGTCCCTTGGTGAGGAATGATTTTCCCTCTCAAACCTAACACAGGTAGTTTGTCTTGCATCTCTGATGTGCTTATCATCTATAATTACATTAGCTCTTAGCACAGTGTCTGGCACACTGTAAGTTCTTAATAAATGTTTATTGATTAATTGATATTTATTTGTGTATGTATTATTCCCCTCATTAGCCTTATGAAGGCGAGAACTTTAATCTAAATTTTTTTATGTATTCTAAAACCTATCACAGTGCTAACTAAGCACAGAGGAGGTATGTGGTAAAGGACTGTCACTCTGGAACTTTTAGCTCAGATACAGGCTGGCCATTTTTCATTCTTATCCCAGATCTGTTTCTGACACTCTGGATATTGCCATCAAGTCCCCAATGCGGTACCTCCTCCAGAGCTTTTCAATTCCCTTTTAAATGTAAACTCCTCGAAGGTAAAGAATGAATTGTTTTTTGCTTTAATTGGTAATCCCAGAATTTATGTTAATTCTTCGTATCCTCACAACAACCTCGTGAGGTAGATGCTATTATGATCTTCATTCAATAGATGAGGAAACTGAAGCAGAGAGAAGATAAGTGACTTGCCTAGGGTCACCCAGTAAGTGTCAA